CAAAACTTTTCAGTCAATGACCCGACGGTGCAATCTTGGCATTGAAGTAAATGGTCAACATTTTGAACAATTATTGTAAACCATAATTGATTTGTTAATAAAGCAAAATTAATAAGTAAACAGTGATTTAATTATTGCGAAAAATGAAAACAGTTTTTTTTGCTCTACAGCCCAAATGGCTCATTTGCGGACATAAGTTTATATAAACAAAAATGCTTGTTTTGATGTCCCCTACTACCCCTTAAAGTTTGTCGGTATCTTTTTGGGACACCCTGTATATAACACCACCATATGCCTGATCGCGTCGGAAAAACCATGCTACTCACACTTTTCAATATTTACACAACTTACATGACGAGGTATTTCAATATTATTTACAAATGGTAGTTCTGATTGAAATCTCAGCCATACTTCATTAACTTCGCTAGGAAGAGATTCATCCCATGACAATTTTTCCAACCACAACTTCTGCAAGAGAATCTTGGCTATAACAATACATAGGGCAAGCAGGCCTAAAGGATCGAACACCTGAGCTATGTGGGACAAAACAGTTCTTTCAGTTATCCTATCCGTCTTATCTGCAACACCTATTCTAAATCTCAGTACATCTGGAACACACGACCACAACAAGCCCAAGGTTTTAGCATTCTCATGTAGCCCAAAATCCAAGATATTAAATTCTTCACTTTGCTGATTAACTGCTTGGAGAATTTCAGGCTCATTCGGAATCCATTTACGTAGCTTAAAACAGTCCCTTTCTAAAGCCTCTGAAACGTGCTGGCAAATAAAGATTCCCTTTTCAACAGAGTCAACAGAGTACAAAAAATCATCCACATAAAATGAACTCTTTATGATACTTGCAAATTCTGGTAAGTCGCTTTCACACTCCAAGGCTAACTGAAATACATACCTAACAGCCAAGAAACTAGAAGATGCTTGACCATAGGTAACAGTATTTAAGTTAAACGTTTTGATAGGCTCAGATGCAGATTCCCTCCGCAATATTCTCTGCAAAGAGCGTTGGCCAGGTTCGATCAATACCGGGCTATACATTTTGACTATGTCTGCTGATACCACATAGACATATTCTCGAAATATTAACGAAATGTTGATTAAATCAGGCTGAATAACGGGCCCTACCATTTGAAGATCATTCAAAGACTTACCTACCACTAGACGTTTGCATACTACAGTCAAAAACAACCCTCAGTTTAGTTGTTAGACTTTCTTTTTTCATCACACCGTGGTGCGGCACGTAATATGCAAGTTCACTATCATTGATGACCTCAACTTCCGTCATATGTCCCAAGGTTTGGTACTCATTCATAAAATCGATATAACTTTGACGAAACTCAACATTCAACTCAAATTTGCGCTCCAAAGACGAAGACCTACGCAAAGTAATCCTCTTGGAATCACCTAAACTTTCCAAAGGCCCCTCCAAAGGCATAGACACAACAAATCGACCATCGCCTTCGCGTTTATACGTTTTTTGAAAGTGAAGTTCACATTTATTTTCTTTAAAGGAATACAACTTTCTCTCACTGCAAAACTCACTTTCAATTTCCCAAAACCTTTTTAAATCAAATTCATTCGAAGCATTCATACTTAAGTTACACACCGTTGGAGCAATGTGTGCTATGGGACCTGAGATTATCCAACCAAATCTTGTCTTTTGCAACACAGGATTATTCGGCCCTAATTTAATTTGACCAATACACATCAACTCATAGAAAAGCTTACATCCAATCAGTACATCAATCTGGCCTGGTTTGTAAAATTGCGGATCTGCCATGGAAATATTTTTTGGTATTTGAATATTGCCTATTTTTAATTTTACACTGGGCAAAAAACCCGTTATTTGAGGCAATACCAAACAATCAATATTTAGTTTAAATGGATTGTATAACGACCTTGCACTTATTCACATCGATGCTTCACATTACAAGCATTTTGCCCTAAACCACCAACTAGAAGACTGCTCTTTTTTACCCTCAATTTATCACATAAATCCGAAGTAATAAAGTTAGATTGACTACCCGAGTCAAGAAGAGCGCGCACCACATGCCATGCTCCATCCTTGCTTTGAACTTCTAACAAAACCGTAGACAACAATACGTGAACGTTCGAATTTGAAGAGGATAACGAAATCTGAGATGTATTTTGTTCATCTCCACCAACAACAACAGCCTCTGGTGATCGGACAACATCATAATGCAGTAGGGCGTTGTGCTTACATTTACAATTTTCACACGGATGAAATCGACAAAACCTACTAAAATGACCGCTTTTCAAACAATTTTATTTATTATTATTATTATATTAATTAGATAAAGTCTCCAAGATTTAACATTATCAACTCTATCACTCACAGGCAAATTCAAGAAATCGGCAAAATTAGAGATAAAATGATTTTTCTTACAAAAAACGCACTTGATTTCACTTCCTAATAAGTTCCTGTTATTTTTATGCGTCGACAGATTATAGTGGGGCTTTGTTTTGGGTTTTTCAAAACTTCTGCGACGCTCTAAAGTTTCTGAAAGATCGGCGCGCGATTTCAAAAACTCTTTCAAATCATCCCAAGACAAAATATCATCTTCGCTATTTTTAAACTCTTCCCACTCGCGATCTGTGATTGGATCAAGCTTAGTGCTAATCAAGTACCTACATAATGAGTGGTCCCCAATGATGCGTTTCTTGCTTCAAAGCAGTCAGAGAATTCAAATTTTTAGAAGCATCGTCGATTAGAAATCTTAACTTTTCTGAACTCTGAATTAAACAGTGATTTAATATGCATATGAACTAATAAACGATTATTATTGTATCGATCGCAGAACGTAATCCAAGCTATATTATAGTTGTCACCGGAAAAATCTAATGATCGAATAAGTTGTGAAGCAGGGTCTTGTAGGGACGATCGTAAATAATGAAACTTCTGAATCGCACCAAGAGATCCGTTGTCGTGGATCAAACTAGAAAAATTATCACGAAATTCCAACCACGATTTATAATCCTCAGAAAACTTGGGTAAGGTAATAAGTGGCAATCGTAACGCCACTGGATCCCACTGAATCTCCATTTATTGGCTGTGCTACACCGCGGTCCCCTGATTGCGAGCCTCTACGAACGCTTCAGCCGCTGCCCACACTATTATTATCATCAGAGAACCTTTTCAGAAATGCTTTAGCTTGCGAAACTAAACAAACATATGTGTTTTCAAAATCAGATCGTTCTACATGCTCTTTAGCTAAATCAGAGAGAGGTACTTGATATTCTAATTCATCCTGTATACTCTCAAACTTTTCATAAACTAAATTAATTTTCTTTAACCTCTTCTTAATTTCACAAATCTCAGTCTCTTCTAAAACGACTTTAGGGGTCATAATATCTAAATATTTTTTGAAATTCGTCATTTGCGACCTGCATCCGCCCCTGCCTCTTATCAATTTATCCCTTTCTTCTGACATTATGACAATTAAATGAAATCAAACGTTTTAATTTATAATGAAAAACAATACACACTTTTTGAGGTACAATACTCTAAGAGCCAAAACAAATCTACCCTGAAACAAAGGATGCAAAAACCGGACTTACCCACTTGCTTCTTTCTTCTTACCTGGTATTGCACAACAAATTTCAACAACACAGCTCTTATTCGGCTCGAAGGCCAATGTTTTTGACTTGTTTTTCGATAAAATACCAGTGGACTGTATATTTTGTTTCCCTTTTTTCTCAGTTATCAAATCCAAAATAATTAAACTCCAAAAATAAACTTTATTCTTACAATATTAAGAAAATGAAACAACTACACAAATTTTGACGAACTCGAGAAAATACAAAGAAAAAAAAATGCATTAAATAACAAAGCGCTGCTCTTCTTTAGACGTTCGTCTAGCTTCTGCCTTTTGAAACTTGACCTACTTCTTCGTAGAGGTGGTGCCAGGCACCAGCTACCGCACCCTCTTGACGGCCGATACTCACCATCTCTCTCTTCTTATTCTGTGTCTTAGCACAGAGTCTTAGTAAGGGAATGTCGAGTAAAGAGTGAATTCTCAACACTTATGTATTTTTAGTAAGTAATTTTTTTTTGGTTAAATAATTGCTAATTTATTTCAAAGTATAAACCTGGCAACATGTTTATTATTTTGTGTTTCAGCGACTCACCCATAGTGGAAGGTAAAAGGTATTTTTAATAAAAAAATTTCTAGTGCACCTAATATTATTGTTTGATTTGACGCCTGCTGTGTGATAAGAAACCTGATTGAAATAGGACCACTGAATCTTTTTTCTTGATTTAAAGGTTCCATTCAACTTAAAATCGACATCCTATTATAAATATATATTTTTTTAATTATTCCTAAAAATCAAGTGGCGTAACTTTCTAAATATTTTAAAGAAGCAATATTTTGATAATACCTATTCATGCTCTACTGATGAACAGCTGCCGGTGCGCAACACTTTGTGTAAATTTTGTTTTGGGTCAAGACATTCCGATATCTATTTAGATTTGTTTATTTTTTGTTTTGAATCCAATCAAAATTAACAACATTACACCGTGAGAAAAAAGTCGTTTTCAAAAGTGGTTGTTTAAATAACTATTACGAGTGTGTAATTTTTTTACATTTTATAGATTCAGCAGGTAATAAGTATCAATACCCAACCAGAAGCTAGCAATGTTCTCGTTCGACCACACATTTTTAATTGCCATTATATTTCATTGCTACGCGGTCCCAACAACATCTTATCGGGGTGGCATCAGGTTGATGGCACGCGTTCCCTAGAGTGCATAGTAGCAATCAACGATAGTAGCGAGGCATCGCTTAAATGTTCAACGTGTTAACTGTGCGGTGTTTTAACACATTTACTACTCCGGTTAATATGTTTCTTATCTCTTCATTTGGTACTTGATCTCTCATGCTAACTACAAGCACGTCATCGGACGATGTGTAGAGATTTCCGTGTTTACGCATATTCAGATTTATTTATTTTTTAACATAAGTTCATGAAATATCGACAAATTTTTGTTGGGCTTTGTTTTCTATGGTTGATTGCATTTGTTCACGACTTATTGTTAAGGTTTCACTCAATTTTAATTGTTGTAATACGATTTGTATCGATGCTTGACAAAACTCGCTAGCATTGTTTTCAGTCGGTTCAGTGCTTATCAAAATGATATCATCTGCAAATATCAAGTGATTTGTTCCTACTTCATTAAACTTCATTTCCTTATGGGCTGCCACTTCATATTTTTAAACAAAACATCCAGGCCCAACATAATAGCTCGGAAAAATTGGGTTCTATTGTCGTTCTATTCTCTATTCACAAATAAAGAAACTTTGGAGAACTAAATAAAGATTACTTCTCATATTGTCTATGATGTGCACGGTGCGGCGGTTCAACCCTCTTCAATTTTCTTATTCCCACGCGTACAATAATGTTTATTTCAAATGGCAGACGGCAGCAGTACGTCACATAGCACTCGTAGCATTAGATAGCTATTGGCTTAGAAAAATAACCGACAGAGAGGGTTGAGAACGTATAAAAGAACAGCAATCATATATTTCTTTTGTCAATTGTTCCTTTTAATAGGAATGACTCTGTCTAAGCGTTTTCATTTCAAAATAATAAACTTTTAATTTTATTTTAATTAGGCATATTTAAAGAAAAGCCTCATTATAATATGAGGATTAAAGTTAAAATCGTAAGAATTCTGCTTTTGCAATTAAAAAAACGATCCCATTTATTCAAATTAAAACGTGTTTCAAGAAACATAAACCAATTTATTTTTTCCTCAGCAACTTTTTCCCTACATATCAAATTATTTTACGTCCTCTTTTCCTTATGTTGCGTCTGTTAATGGGCTGATATTCGTTCCCCAGATTGTAACTGCGTGCCTAATGCGCCTTAGTGGACCCTGTGAATACTTAGAGCTTGAAAGCACTTAATGTTAACGTAGCCCTTAAGCGCTCGACCTCGTTATTACATTTTTTCGCTTTTTATTCCGGGTGACCATTTTATAAAGGAATTTCTGTAGGAGTTTTAATATATTTTTGCGAAATTTCACAGCAATTTATCAATAATAATTAAGGCATTGAATATAAAGCATAGAATGCATGACTTCATAACCGAAAAGCCGTTTAGGCAAATATTTAATTAATGGGCTTTATCAATATTCCGTAATAATTCAATAGCTGGTTCACGCCTCGCTTCTCCATTGAAATGATTGACTATAAGACTAAATCAGCGTTAAATTTCCCACCCAAATAAAGCGTGAAGGATATAGAGGCTTTAAACTTGTTTATTTATTTTATACACGATGTCCCAAATAAATACAGGAGGTTACAGCATGGCTCAAATTACAGGAAGTGGCTCAATTAAGTTCCTATTAAATAAAATGCTGCTACCAAATAAAAAAAAAAAACATAAACATACTGTTTCTGTTTGATTTTTGTGTTGATGCTGGTTGATTTTTCTGTTTTTTTTTTTTTTGTTTCTGGAGTTTTTAATCATATGTTTTTGGGATTTTTTGAATAGGAAAAATAAAAACTTGCTGTTGATTGTGGTGATATTTTTTTGACAAAAAAGGTTAGGTTCACGCGTTCACCGCCCTTGTTCGAATGTCCACATTTCAGAACTAGAAATATAAATTAATTCTCAACTTAGGCGACAACATTCTACAAGAAACATCAAAAAAACAACTTAAGCTTTAATGAAATATAAGGTGAATGTCATGGTACATAAAATTATGACGGTAGCCTAGCGCAGACAAAAAACTTTCAGGAACTTTGCTCACAACTATCAAATTCAGGTTAAAGATTGCTTAGCTCATACAATTCACGCACTATTCGTCACCATTCTATGGCTCGCTTAAACAGGCCATCTCAAGTTCGTATGGTTACGACCCGCACCAGATTGTCTTCGCCGGGATGGATTTCTACGACTCTGCTCACGGGCCAATGCATAGGTGGTTCGTTGTTGGTTTTAAGAAGGACCATTTTACCCACTTTGACATTTTGCTGCGACTATTTCGAACGCTGCTACAAGGAGTGTAGATAGTTTACGCTCCAAACACACCAAAATTGCTGCAGCTGCTTGAAATATTTCAATCGTTTGATATTCGGATCCATTACATTATCTTGTGGACAGCTAACTTAACTTCTCCCAATGAGAAATGACCAGCTGTTAAAACTTGTCTGTAGGGTCGTCGGTTAAAGGGGTAAGAGGTCGTGAGCTTCTACCTACGTTAGGGCGGTGTGAAAACTTTCATAATCGAGTGCCACCGATCAACCGCTTTAAATGATACTTAAAAGACATCACAGCGGCCTCCGAGAGACCGGCACAGTGAAGAAAGCGGGGAGGAATAAAATGCCATTGAACTTTGTTTTCAGTAAAATATTTTTGATATTTTTAGGCGCAATCTCGAACTTCAGAGCATAATCGGTTGAGCTCGCTACTCGAACCTTGGAAATTAGTAGCGTTGTCGCTACGAATCTCCTAAATGCAAGCAAGAAAACTTCACTATTCAAATCCGTCACCAGCTCAACATGTACAGCTCGAGTGATGAAACATGAAGATACATGGTAACAGTTTAACGCCACAGGACTACGTGTTCTACCATCTTTTAACGGTTAAGGTCCTGCAAAATCTACAACGCATACACTGAAAGGACTTGAGGGGGTAACCCTGGAGGAAGGCAGAGATCCCATGAGCTGTTAATATCCTTAGGTTTGGAGCGAAAACAAGTTACACATTTGCGCAGAATATACCAAACCCCATTTCGGCCATTAATTATCCAAAATTTACTTCTGATCTGGGAAAGGGTAAACTGAGCCCCACCATGCAAGAACTTTAGATGATAAGATCTGATCAATAAGCGGGTAAATGGATGCTTCGAAAGAAGATAATGGGATATTACTAATCGAAATCCAGAATGGAATACTTCAATCGGCCATTGATTCTAAGCAACCCATTGGAATCTACGATAAGATTCAGACGAAATAGTTGGCTAGTCTTAGGAACAGTATTTCCAGCGCGCAAGAATTTCAAGTCCTTAAGAAACACGCCTCTTTGGACAATAGAGCACAATCGCAACTCAGCTGTTTGTAATTCGCCAATAGTCAAATCTTTTGAACATTCTAAATCAATCTTTGATATTCTTGCTTCGAGATTGTTACATAACCTGAGAAGATAGGCTGTTATTCTGTTCAATTTATTGTAACTAGAATAAAGATCGAAAATAAAAGTTTGGTTTTTCTGAATCTCGTGACATGTTAACGAAATGTTTTCCTTTCGAACCTCTGGAATAGAGTATATGCCGGTGATGATAGTTTTAGGCCAATTTCCAATGATTTAACAGAGATATGAACGCCCATGCCACCAAAGTTTGGAATTTTATAATAATTGAGGGTTAGAACTAGGGCTCGGAATTGTATTCGAATAATTCGAACAGTCGACTATTCGACTATTCTAAATTCAAATTTTTTTGTTAGTTAGAAAATTCGACTATTCGAATATTCGAATATTCGATTATTCGACTATTCGACTATTCAAATATTCGAATATTCGACTTTTCGACTATTTGAAGATTGGACTATCTACCTAGTAGATACCTGCCAGCCCACTTAAAAAAAAACCTATACATTACAAATTTGAATAAAATAATGTTCAGATTTTCAATAGTTACCTAAACGACTATTCCGGTTACCGGGTTTCCGGTATTTAATTAAAAATAGACCACTACTAACCGTACGACGAAGTACAAACTAACTAATCTAAATGATTATCGGAATATTTGACTATTGGAATATTAGACTATTCGAATAGTCCAATAGTCGAATATTCGACTATTCGAATATTCGACTATTCGAATAAAATACCAAACGACTATTCGAATACTTGAATTTTAAAAATTCCGAGCCCTAGTTAGAACCGGGACTCAAATTATCAGCAGGATTCTGATCAGTTGGTACCTACGTGCCTCCATTGAGTATTTTCATTTAAATGCTGCATTTCAGCCACACGATTGCTGCACTTTCCAATTACCCGGCTCCTTGTCCAACCATGCCAGAACAATAGAAGAGTCTGTCCAATATGTTGTTTGTTCGATTGAAATGAGTGGTTTTGACTCGAGGCTTGAGTTGAACCAATAGATGAGCGCCAGGTGTAGTTAAATTTAAATTTAGAGCAAATAAGATTGGAACAAATTTGACCTTTACCATCTAGATAAGTCAGATAGATTGAGGCGCCATAGATCGTTTGAGAACTATCACAAAACCCGTGTAACTGGATATTCTTTGACATAGAAGAATACAAGACACATCTTGGAATTCTGGGCAGGTTTGTTTGTTTGTTTAGCCGGCTCGTTGGCTTGGCGAGAGGATGCGGAAGGACTTTCTCAGTGTTGCGAATCGGACCATCTTAGGGTAGGAGATGCATGATAAGGCCGACGATTTAGACTCTAGTATGAATGGGAAGGAGTAGAGTCCATGCAAATGATGTACAATAAGCCACAATGAACTTCAGTGCAGAGCATTAACGATAGCAGCCAAAAAGTTAACATCATTAGACATCCACTTCCGCAGATTTAATCCTGATATTTGCAAAACATGAGATATTCCGTTTTTTAGCTGATTAGCTGCTTGATAGCTATCACAACCAGTGATTAAATCGTCCATCTAGAAGTCGTTAATGATATTAGAAATATAGCGATTCTCAGATCGACATCCTACCCCAATCCCATTCAATACCCTGGTAGCTGAAAATGAGCTGAGGGTAAGACCATAAACTACTGTATTTAATTCGAAGTGCTTTATGTTTTGGGACGACTGTTCTCGCCATAAATTACGTTGGAAGGATCGATCATCTTTGTGTACCAAGATCGTACAGTACATTTTCTCAACATCTGCCGTCAGAACGACTGAATAGGTTCGCATGCGCACAAATATGTCGAATAAATCAATTCAATTCAATTCAATTTTTATTGTTTCCAGAAAGTATTTTCTATAACAATGAGTGCTCTAAATCTAGTAAACGTAGTGGTTTGAATTACAAAAGCAAAAATAAACTTATAATTCGTAGGGGACCCAGTCCACACCAGGCGATTTCCCATTCTTACATTTGCCTATGGTATTTTTCAAGTCTGTAAGTGAGAATTCTCGGTCAAGGACACCATCACGCACACCGTAAAACTGAAAAGGTTCGGAGAATTGCTGTGTATACACGGTTGCCAAATAATCTTGCCAGAATTCGCGAGAGTGTAATGTCTGTTTTCTGTGACCGCCAAGTCTTTTATAAGTTAGCCAGAATTCTTTAGACTTTTTCGTGTTTGCAAGCGAGTCTGAAATATGAGTTTCAAATTGACGTTTCTTTTGATTTATGGTGTTACGATAAAGTTTTTTTGTCTCCATAAATCTTAGTTTTGCTTCTCCGAAAAAATTTTGGGCCCGGCAATGTCTTAGCTCAGTGTTCACTCTTTTTTTCAAACTGAAACATTCCTTATCAAACCACGGTTTATTAACGCGACCCGTGTTTTTACTTAAGTTTTGTGACGAGGGCCTTATAAGATCAAGAGACTTGGCAACCGTGAATATTGTGGTGCAAAGATTCTCGTGAGATTCATTCATATCTGCGAGGAAACGACAGTCTTGGGAGAAATGCATCAACGCTTTGTATTGCTGAGAAACCTCATCAGACCACGCAAGGGACGGGGCAGACCGCACGACTGGTGTGGGTAGAGAAAGATTTGGAAAACTCTTTGATTTTAGTCGGATAGTTATTGGAAAGTGATCAGATGTATATTCACTATTACACACGTAAAAATCATTCAGCATTGAGAGGCAAGGCAAATTAATAAAACATAAATCCACAGTACTTGTACCCCCATTATCCCATAAAAGTAAATTGTCCTATGTAGTCGTCGTCACAACGACCGTTCAGTAGGAAAAACCCGTTTAAGTCCATAATGTCAATCAAACTTCGACCCCTTGCGTTAATTAGCCTGTCTAAACTAGACCTAGCGGGACGCAGCCCCGAACCCTTCAGGACCTCTGGGCAGACATCGCCAAGATTACCAACTCTGCTATTAAAATCACCTGAAATAATCCAGGGGCTTTGCGGGTCAAACGCTGCGTCCTCGAATAAAGTTTCCTGGAATAAAGGTAATGCATACTCGAAATCCAAATTTGGCTTAAAATAGATACTGCACAAGTATAGCGAGCATAAATTAAAACTAACTCTACAGATTATCCACCAAGGGGTAAGGTTAAGTAGATCCAAACTTAAAGAATTCTTATAAATAACACATAAGCCTCCGCTATAACGACCGCGAGATGCTTCTCTCAAAGCATGAGATGAGAGGACGTTGTATTGCGATAAATAGTCGGGAAGAATAATGTCGTCCTTCTCCCATGTTTCAGAGAAACAGATTATGTCGTAGTTGTGAATGGCCTCTGCAAAGTGATGAATGCGATTAAACCCCTTGATGTTCCAAAAAACAATGTTCAATGGTTGCTACAATGCGTTAGAGCCGTTTGGTCCTGTATGTTTTTTGTGGATTCCAGGGGATGCGCTCTCTTCACGTTCTCTCTTTCCATCGCTGCGTAATGACACAATACGAGGTACTCCTCGTATATATTTGATTGTCAGGTTATCCTCACCTTCATCTGTACGTTTTTGCAGTTCCTTTCGAAGCGTACTCAGATGTTGAACCTGACGTGGGGTCAAGTCCGATTTCATGGTGACAGACTTGTATTGAGGAGACGTTAGGCGAGACTTGGCTTTCAAAACTTCCATGGCATCAGAACTCGATGAAAATATGACCTTAAGTGGTCTGGGACCAGTGTTTGCTTTACCAAAACGGAACGTCAGTTTTGGAGATATATTCTGTAGGCCAATTTCGGTTAGAATCTTTTGGACTTCGGCTTTATCATCTACCACTTGTCTAAGGCCTGAGACAGACTATGACATTGCATTCTCGACGCGTACGATCTCGAGATTCTTCAAAGAAGTCTTCAAAGTTTTGCGCCTTTGATTGTAAGTTATCGAATTCCTTGCGAAGAGAACAAGTCTCAGTTTTCAAATTGGTAATTTCGGTCTCACAATTGGCAATGGATACAGCCTGGGATGCAATATGCTGGTTTAACGTTTCGATTTTAGCGTCGCAAGCAGTAATTTTGCCTTCGCAGGCATTTACGGTTATTTTTAGAGAGGAAAATTCGGCCATTATTGCTTGGAAATGCTCCGTAGTTAATGGTTTTGGCGCATTCGTGCTCGAAGTGCATTTCAGACATTTGAATTGTGCAGGCGATCCCGCCCCGGCATCAGCGAGTTGACCACATGTTTCATGAACCGTAGCTGCGCACATCGAACATGTCCGAGTTGATTGATTTTTGGTGAATGAATTTTTGCAGCACTGGCATATAGCCATATTTTAGTACGTTTTTGTTTACGAAAGATTTAGCCAAAGATAATGTTTGGTGCAGGGAATAAAGGCACAATACGTTACTGGTGACTTACTCTTTTAAAGCAGGTAACTTTTGGCTATTTTCCCTCTTGATTAAACGGGATAACTTCAACTTTTTGGAGTGAGAGATAAAATGTGTACACTACTTTTAAACAACCAATGCGCACTCCTTCGAATAAATCGTTTTGGACCATGGGACCGGTTTCTAATAGGTACTTGGTTCAAAGTAAGTCCTGAGCAGCCTGAGCTGCTGCCATTAAATACCACCCTGAGCTTAGTGGTTTTACTAGATTCTTTGAATATTGGATGGTGAGGGAGATAATTACAGATGTTATGATGAATTTCACAATATTGCTTTCAAAGTTGAGGATTTTTGGAAAGTCGTTTCTCTGTTGAAAGAAGGTAACTTTGGGCAATTTGGTAGGTATCACCTAAATTTTGAAAATTATCTTTGAAAGGTAATCTAACTATGTATCATCCGGTACGGTCTGGCATGGCATTTTGTCTAAAATGAATTTCACACTCAAGCTCCTCAGTGGTTAACTTATTTTGATCAGACTGATACAGGGTGGGCCAATTTGGGCACTTTTAATAGGAAACGTCAATTTCTGAGCGAGATACAAAAAAATTAACTCCCCACTCTGAGGTTCAAATTTCATGAAATTTTGATTGGTGCAAACCGCATTTTGATATCTTAAACCTTTTAGCCGCTAGAGGGCGATTTTCGATTTTGAGCAATATTGTGAAACCTTCATAACTTTTTTGTTTATGGAAATAATTGATTTTCGTAGAAACTTTTCAGAAGCACTTTTTAAAGCAGAATTTAGTGAGTTCTCTGTTTCTAGTTGGCCCCAACTTCGAGAGATTGACCAAAGTCCGGCTTTTTTCAATAGGGCACCCAATATAATAATAGCTCATTGGAAGGCTTTTACTGATTTCAATGATATAAAGTTGGATAGGTTTATCTCTAACAGTTTTCGAGAAAAAAAATTATCTCGGTTTTTGTCATAAGAAACAACAAAAGAGACCTTTCTCATTTTCCTTACAGATATATAGTCAATTTCTAACATATTTTTTGTGATTTGCGGCTGTTTTTTGTTTTTTTGGTTCCGAATCGCATCAGAACTAGTGTTAAAACAGTCCTCTATTATTTTTTGTGCGCAAGCAGTTCTGCGCAATCCCAGCACCGTTCCAAATTTCGAACCAAAACAAAGCTAGTGTCGTGTGTGTACCTAATGTGGCCGTTGCACCGGAAAGAAAGCCGCGCTTTTCGGGCTATTAATAAAAAGACGTTCGAAGCCGTTGATTTCATGTATAACCCAAACGCCGCCATTTGCTTTGCCGACAAAGTAACCCTCTCTTTTATAACCTAACGTGGCGTGGCGTGGTTCTGTGACTTGCAGACGAGGGCTGCACAAGCAAATTTACTTGCTGTGCTATATTCCCACATGTGTTTATCTCACTCATTTAACTATTTAATATCAAGTATAGGTACCTTATTGTTATTCAACAGTGCGTCAAAGTGGTTTTATTTGGTGCACAACCCCCAAAATACCCCTAGACAACGAATATAAAAACCTATATAACCTCTGTGTAGGAGCAAAAATTGATTGGGTGAAAAATAGGTGCAACTGCCCAAACCAAGCTTAACGGACTACAAAGACAGGCCTGTTTGGCAATTACAGGAGCTCTCAGCACTAAAACAGCAGCCATGAAGGTTTTCCTAGGAATTTTCTCTTTACATATTCATCTGAATTCTGAAAAGAGACTCCCTAAAAACAACTTACAGAATATACAATACGAACAGAGATCAGGTGGATGACAAGGAAAACGTTGAAGGCACCAAACTGCTGCTGGAGTTTATCAAAATACAGGTTTGGGAATACCTAAGGACCTTATGACAAGAACACACACAATAAGCGCTCTACCCTATACAGTGGCTCTACCAAGAAGGGAGGAGTAAGAGCAGAATGAGCATGCCCTACTGAAAGCAGATTTATGTCTGTTTACGGATAGATCGAAGACAGACAGTGGGTTGGGAGCGGGCGTTTATGGTGCAAAACCGGAAACTAGGTTATTCATCAGTCTAGGAACAATGCAGTCAACTTTCAAGCGGAAGTGCATGCCATTGAAATGGGTGTAAGGAGGCTGCAGATTCGATTTCAAACTCACCAAACCATAGAAATATGTTCTGATTTTGTTCCACCTACTGTAATTCAAAAACATGTTGGAGCTGTCAGAAATCTCAAAGCAAATTAGGGAAGGAAAATAAGGTAACCCTAATGTGGATACCGGGACACGCTGGCCTTGAGGGGCGGGTATTTTGATTCTCGTCACAACTGCGTATTTTTTTTTGAAAATCGAATGATTAGCTCTCGATATATTCATTGTCTAAGTTGCCATGGGCTAAATGAAAAATAATCTTCTGGTCCTGTTATTCTCAAATTTACAGTGTTAATTTGAGGATAGCAGGGCCAGAAAATTGTTTCTTATTTAGCCCATGACAACTTTGACAGTGAATATCTTGAGAACTAATTATTCAATTTTCGAAAAAAAAAAAAAAAAAAAAAATACGCAGGTATGACGAGAATCAAAATACCTTTGAAACAAGGTGGTACCACTCGACCCATCTTCCCTATCTAAAAAAAGAGGGAGTTGAGTCACCCCACCTAGAGGGTGCACCCTACCGAAATACCCATGAGGTCAAAAAGTTTCCCCCTTGAATACAAAAATGACGTATCAAAGCGTTTTTTTCAAATCGACCTAAAAATACCCTAAAACGCCTTTGTTTCGATGTTCGTGAAACACACTTTATCTTCTTACAAGCAAGTTGGACAATACAACCAGTCGAGAATGAGAAGTATTCAATAAACAAGACAATGTTACATATTCAAATTTCCTAGATTTTCTGAAAAAGCAAAGTACAGGTCCTTGAGACTATCCAAACTAATTAAACACAAAAAGCTCAGAATCTACTTCGAATGAAAAATTTTTTCCAAAAAAAAAAAAAAACAACAATTTTCTCCAAAAACGTACAGCCATGTTGACATAGCAAAAACAGACGAGCAGGAGGATGCTGAGTTCTCTTGCAGCTTTTGTAGGTTGAAAACACATTCGACATACAAATGCTTCTGCTTACTAGCATTATCAATACAAATTCACTTGTGCTTGAAAAACTTCGTATATGTGTGAACTGCGTATATATATATATAATTATCGGTTTATAACGTTCTACGTCTTCCGATTCCCGATCTCTAACCATCTCTGTCAATCCAGGCATCCTCTTCTAAGCCTCTGTCTCTCATTTCTTCGTCTACTCCACTTCTCCAGCTTCTTCCCGGTCTGCCGCGTCTTCTTCTTCCCCCTGGCTTCCACTCAATAATTTGCTTGGGTATCCTTGTATCTGCCATTCTTTGTACATGTCCGAACCAAATTAGCTGTTTGTCCTTTATATCATCTACTATTGTGTGTTTTACGTCCATAATCTCCCTTATTCTCAGATTTGTTATCCTTTCCATCTTTGACCTGCCTGCGGATCTCCTCCAAAAGTTCATTTCAGTTGCTTCCAGCATTTTTGCGGTTCTGTTCTTTAGTGGCCAGACTTCTGAGCTATATGTGACTATGCTTTTGACTATGGTGTTGTATTTTCTAGTTTTGTTAGCTTTGTTGATATTTTGGTCCCACAGTACACCATTTAGTAGGGATATTGCCTTGCGTCCCTGTATATTCCGGTCTTTAATTGCTTCGTCTAGGACTCCCTCACGTGAGATTTTCATGCCCAAATATTTCAGTACATCGTTTTATTTCTTGTCCGTTATTCAATTTCAGAGTTTGCTGTTCACCTCCTATAGTCATATATTCATCATAGTCCTGTGCAATTACTACTTGATCATCTGCAAAGCTTAAAGTATATAAATTGTATTCATTGAGCGGTATTCCCATGTGTCTGCATTTGTTTTTCCACCCCTTAAGCGCTTGCTCTAAGTATATTTTAAAAAGCGTTGGTGATATGCAACATCCCTGTTTAAGTCCTTTAGTTGCTATAAAGCCTTTACTGATCATGTTTCCCTGTTTAATCTTGGTCTTTGCATCACTATAGAGGGTTTTTACTGCCTTTATTAGTTCTAAATTAATATTGGTTTTTTCCGGTGCTTCCCAGAGCTTTTTCAGCGGAACATTGTCATATGCTTTCTTTAGATCTACAAAGAGTAAATGGAGTTCTTGGTTATACGCTAGTTTCTTTTCTATTACCTGGGTCAAACTAAATAAATGGTCTACAGTTGATCTTCCTGCTCTAAAACCGGCCTGTTCTTCTGCCTCACTATCTTTGAACTCGTTCTCTATTCTGGCTTTTATGTGTTTTCCATACACTCTTTGTTACTGCAATTCCTCGGTGGTTCTCGCATTTGTTTCTATCTCCTTTTTTATATATCGTTGTTAAATAGCTTATTTTCCACTCTTCCGGTACTTCATGTTTATCTATGCATGTTTGAAATAGTTTTGTTAAATGTTTGTAGAGTTTATTGGTCCCATACTTTATTAGTTCTCCATATATTTCTCCTGGGCCTGGTGCTCTACCGTTCTTCTTGCATGACTCTTATAGGTGATCCTGCAGTTTTTATGTTTCGTGTCTGTTCCCTTTCTTCTTTAAACTCTGCTCGCTGTTCTATCAGTAATTCTTCAAAGTACTCTTCCCATTTCTGGGGTGTTATTGTATTGATAATATCCCTAGTTTGTGTTTTCCTCATGTTTTTGAGTAATCTCCAACTTTCTGTGTTTCTTTTACCCCCTAGATAAGTATTAATATGCGCACAGTTTCTTTCCCATGACGCGTTTTTTTTCTGTATTATTTTATTCCGTACTCTTGCTTGTTCTTCTTTATATATTTCTTTGTCTCGTGTCTTCTTTGAACTTAGATACTGTTGGTATTTCTTCCTTTTATCTGCTATGTCTTTATTTCTTGA